CAGGACCCAGGGCACTCTTTCCCAGCACGCAGCTTCCTCACGGAACCTGGGCTGATGAGGACACATGGCTTCAGGGTTGGGTGGGAATCCCAACACCACCGCTCACTACCCACGTGACCCTAGACAAGACACGTAACCGGCACAAGCCCCCCATGTGCCCCTATGACGGGTAAGCATCGAATTCACAGGGTCCTTCTGAGTCAGGGTTTTTGTCAAGCAATCGGACGGAGTCTGGCACCTTGTCCTCAGCGAATGGTGGTGATGCGCCCGCTCTCCATCCCGACAGAGCACCGAAAGATGCCCGTAACGGTCCCGACACAAGCGGGTCCTCAATCAGTGCGGATTCTCTTTGCAGTGAGAGCGGCTGGGGACTGATCATCACGTTCATCTTATATCTCTGTTTTTCTCATCACAAATAAATAATGAAAAAGAACACAGACTAACTCCAAGGGCCTTTTTTCAGCTTACTTCCCTAGGAGTCTAGAAAAACCCTGCTGGCAGGAGGAAAATAAGTACATGTAAACGGACGGCTGGGGGCAGTGAGTCAGTCGGGCATTTCTAGCATTTGCCCCTCAGGAAACCTCAACATCCAGGAGAGGATTTCACACCCCACCCACCTGACACGTACACCCATTCAATGGCACACAACAGGGTCGGAACGCCAGACTTACAGTGTTTGGGACGTATGGTAAGCCATAGAACTTCTCCTGGGTGTCCCTGAGGATGTCTGTGGTCGAGCTCCTCAGGGGATGCTTCCCATGGTAGATCTGATCCAGAGCAGCATAAAAGACCTGGACGGAAGAACGCACCTATTTACTTTGGGCACCATGCTTACATCTATGATGTAGGCGACCAAAGATGTTACAAGTCTACCAGAATAATAACTGCAAGTCGCAGCTGGGCAGTCACAAGTATAAGTGTATGTGGCTTGAGATGTATTCTGTATTTCATATCACATTTAAGACCATGTTAATTATGAAAAGGAATGCTCTCAACCTCTTCATGATTAAGGATATTAAGGAATTCTGAACCCTATCTATAAGGTACTCTCTTTCTGTACAGTGTAGTAAATTAAATTTTGACCACAAAACTACACACACACACACACACACACACACACACACATACATATATGGAAATATATATATATATGGAAATATGAAAAAATTAAGTAATAACCTGTGACCCCCCTGGAGCTAGTAAATACTGTTTGGCTTCTTCCTAGAATCCTTATATAATTAAATGAGAGAAATGACAGGGTGAGAATCCTAGTTCGTTGATGAGAGGTGAAAGGCGGGGTGAAGTGAGGTGAGGAAGCAGGGGTGTTACACAGGATTCAGGGGCGGCTGTCGGAGAGTCTGAGGCCAGGACCAAGGCAGACCCCAGCCCTGCTGCCAGGGCTCAGAGGGCGAAGCTGCTGGGCGGGGTGACCCTGGCTTCAGGAGGTGACTGGTAGGGAAGGCTCACTCCCCTCCAAGGAGAGGACAGAGGCCACTGAAACATGACAGGAGAGTAAAGTGTCAGAAGGAGTTTAAACACGAACCCTGCTGCGTATTTCCAAGCTCTGAAAGCTAAATTTCGCGCAGAAAACCTCAAGTAAAGTGCTTTTTCACTGCAACATTTGACTTGTTAACATTGTTTGAGTTTTACCTGAAGCAAGTAGAAAATGTTTTATTTTAAAAGAAAAAACTGTCCAGTGATTATGTTTCCGATACATATCTTTCGGATTCAAAATAGGAATTTGTAGAGAATGTGCAGCTGTTGACTTGAAAGAAGTGAGGATTAGTTTGTATAAAAGAAAAAATTTAAATGACCTCTATAACTTCTGGCTAATTTAAATGACCTCTATAACTTCTGGTTCTAAATTATAAAGTCAAGTTTAAACCTTCGCTGGAAAAATATAGACATTTCCTAAATATTGCTTTGCTCTAACTGGCAATCTAAACATATACTAAATACAGCTCTTTCCATTCTATGTTCTGTAATGGGTAACAATATTGGGTTGGTCAAAAAGTTCGTTCGGGTTTTTCTGTAAGCTGTAACGTCGTGCAGAAAAACCCGAACGAACTTTTTGGCCACCCCAATATTTCATGCTCATTTGCCGATGAACCAAACAATTCTAAGCGATAAGCCCACCCAGGGGGTCCTGCATGCTTGGGACCAGGAACCTTACAGCTGCAGAAAAACGAGCTATTTTTAAAATAATGCACAGCAAAAAATAAATAAATAAAAGTTTAAAAGGCACAATTTAAAAACCACTGCTGATACCCGCTCAGAAATCTGCGGCAACTCCCTTCCACCCTGGGTTGTCCCCACGGCTCGGGGGACAGCTGTGTGACAGGAAAGCAGCGCGAGCGGCCCTTCGGGCGGGAACTGCCTTCCCTCCCTTCTCCTCCAGCTTCTCAAACCCCCTCGCCCTTTCTCTCCCTCTCCCTCCTTATTCTTTTTGGAGGGCAGAAGTACGGAAAGGTTGGTTTTCCTTTTCAGAAGAAAATCACTGGAACAAGTGTTGCAAAGGACGCCAGGACACGGGCTTTTAAAAGGTAGGACTCCCACGACAGATACCGGTAAATCAGAAGACTACTGCCAAGTAATGTTAACCTTTCAAATAATCCAGAAATCTTTTTGCAATTGTGTGATACAAACAGACACTAAATGATGTTAATCCATGGTTTCGTCTACAGCAGGCGCCTTTTTCACTGAAACGTGTATTCTAAGGTCCAAAAAAGCAGAGCACATTCATTACTTTCTAGGGACTGAACTTTATACACCTATAACGCAATTCAACAGTGGCTACACTTTTAAACAGATGACTGGATCATTAGAAAGTGAATACTGCCCGAGGTGAAGGACAGGTGCTCGGGCTGTGTTGACCTAACACTCGAGACCCGACGAAGAGGAAGAACTCCACAAACAATCTCAGAAATTACAAATAACCTAAACATCTGGTATCACACAGACCTGACATCCAGATGGTTTATAAAATATTTCTCGTCTTCATCTGGAAACCTGGAACACTGGCTTTGAGTTTTACTAAAACTAAGTCATTACTGTTTAAACTTCACATCTAAAAACACAAATTTAAAAAAAGATACAACGTGAACAAAAAGATATAACTTGGCTGCTGAAGTGCACCATTTAGAAGTCAGGTAAAACTTTTCCACGCTTTGATTTTCCACTGAAATTGGGAAATAACCTTATCTGACACCTACTTCCTAAGGATGGTTGGAAGACCACATGATTAGTCAAGGTCAAGTTCTCTGAACTCAGACAAAACATGTTTTGGAAGCATAATTATTATAATAAATGGGTAGCACTGGCAAGAATTTAAAGTTATACATTTATTTTGAATAATATCTGTGGAAAACTTCAGAACAAAGGCACACACCCACCTGAAGTTGCATGTCCGCTGCTGCACAAACCTTTTTAGATTCGCAAAGACGAGACACCATATTTCTGGGCAGTGACTTGAAAAACAAAACAATATGTATGTGAGTAAACTGCACTGTGTACTTTTGAGGCAGGAAAGTTAAAAATAACACCAAATGATACAATTTCATTTTGGTTTAATAATAACTTTGAAATATTTTCGAAGACAAGATAAAGGATGAATACATTCCACTGAATTTCAAAAAGTGGTAATTATCACATAGGGGTTTGTACATGAAAATACAGGATTGTAGGGAAGTCAGACATTGGCACTGTTCTTTAAAACTCTAGTTAAAACGTTAGGAAAAGTCAGTACTTTTTCTGTTCCTTTGTTAGCAATGGAAGTCCATTCAAGTGCTCTGTTGACCTTAAGAGCACATAATGACTGATGACAGGAATCAAAGGTCACAAAGTCAAGAAATAAACTCGAGTCCATGGCGCCAGCCAGTACTGGAGCCCAACAACATATCCCGACAAATAACCATGATAATAAACTGTGCCTTCTTTTATTTTCCAACCTGAAAGAATTGCAGGGCTTGGAAACTCAGTCTGATTAATGTCCCTATACAATTTAGGGCTTCCTCTCCGAGACTAATTAGGCGTAATCATATAACATCACGTATTCTCTTACAAATAAACTAATAATGTAGCTGAGAAAGTGCTGTAGCCAATCTTACTCTACTTTTTTTTTTTTTTTGGTACGCGGGCCTCTCACTGTTGTGGCCTCTCCCGTTGCGGAGCACAGGCTCCGGCCGCGCAGGCTCAGCGGCCATGGCTCACGGGCCCAGCCGCTCCGCGGCCTGTGGGATCCTCCCGGACCGGGGCACGACCCCGTGTCCCCTAGCATCGGCAGGCGGACTCTCAACCACTGCGCCACCAGGGAAGCCCTTACTCTACTTTAAAATCATTAATACTGGTATTTACTGAAGACAGCTGCCATTTTATACAATTCTATTTATAATCTAAATCAAGTTAAAAGCCCTTCTAAAGAGAAACAAATTATGTAAGAGACTTATGGCAGGTTACTGTGCACTACAGCTGTATAGACTAAACACTGGTGAGTGGCAATGTGAGCTGTGAGCTGGAAGGGGAAGCAGGCACTGCCGCGTGTGTGTGAACATGTGTGCACATGTGTATCTATATATCTATACAGGTATCTCCCCAGGGCCGAGAACAGTGCCTGGCACACAGCAGACACTCAGTGCACACCTGCAGGAGGAGTGACTACAGCAAGAATGACCCTGACTTCTGTAGCAGAAATGAAGGCTCAGACAATAAGGCCTTTTCTCTTCTCTTTCCGTTTGGCTATAAGAAAAGCAAACCAGCCCAAAATGGCAATTTTTCAAGAGTTAAAAGACACAGACTGAAGGAAGCTGCACAGTGTGACTTCTGGTGCAGGGAAAAGGCCTGGGTCTTCCTGCCATAAAACGAAAATTTCCTGCAACAGCATTTTAAAAGGTCAAGGTTCAGTGAAGTCATACACGCCAGCAGCTTGTATCAAGATGTTCAGCTTTCTTGGGCTTCCCTGGTGGCGCAGTGGTTGAGAATCTGCCTGCTAATGCAGGGAACACGGGTTCGAGCCCTGGTCTGGGAAGATCCCACATGCCACGGAGCAACTGGGCCCGTGAGCCACAACTACTGAGCCTGCGCGTCTGGAGCCTGTGCTCCGCAACAAGAGAGGCCGCGAGAGTGAGAGGCCCGCGCACCGCGATGAAGAGTGGCCCCCGCTTGCCACAACTAGAGAAAGCCCTCGCACAGAAACGAAGACCTAACACAGCCATAAATAAATAAATAAAAGCAAAACTGTCAACAAGTAAAAATAAACACAATTATAAAAAAAAAAAAAAAAAAAAAAAAGATGTTCAGCTTTCTTTAAACCTTACTTTATGTTATACCTTCTGTTGACAGGACTGCTGCTGAACGTGGGTTTTTCATGCTTCACAAAGCTTTAATGGTTTTATTTTCACATAAAAAAAATCGTACGTGTGGAAGGATTATCAACAAACAATGGAAACTCCTGGGGGCAAGCACTTTATTAGACCTGAGGGACAGAAAGAGGTGGAGATGGGGTCCCAGCAGCACTGCCCATGTGCGCAGAACCATAAACAGAACTACAACGAGCAAGAGGAAGGAAGACCCTGCACATGGGTGTGAAACCATGACCTAGAAGGGCTTGACTGAGGGAACAAGGTAGAAGTGGGACCTACAAAGTGAACAGGCGTGAAGCGGGGCTGGGGGCCGCAGGGAGAAGGGCGCTGAGCAGAGGCACGGGAGAGGGGGCCTGGGGGCTCAGCCAGGCAAGGACAGGGTGCCCACCCTCAGATCCTGCAGGAGGCCACTGGTGAGTTTTGACCAAGGAAGTCACCTGGGCCAAGTTGTGTTCTGAAAAGATTCCTCTGGCTGCAGTGTAGACACGCCGTACGAGGGGGCCAGGAGTGGGGACCAGTGACACACACACACCACCAGTGACCTCAGCCAGAGCAGAGTGGGCAGCCGGGGCATGACTGGGGCTGGAGTGCGGGGGAAAGAGACAGGCCAGTCAGGGGGCCGAGGTGGATGGGGAGCAAGGTCAGGTGGGGAGGCACAGGCCCTGAGTGGGGAGTGGAGGGGCGTCCATGGCCGTGGTCCCAGCTCTCGGTAAGGTTTACAAGCCCTGCCTGGAGACAGTGAGGAGGAAATGCCAGTACTGGGTCTAAGAACCAAACCCAACAGACCCCTTTCATCTGTAAGTAGTTTACTTTGAGGCCAGTGTCTCCCAAGATTCAAACCCATCTAGCAAAAGGGCAAACAAAGGGACAAATTTAAGGAGGCTTAATTCTTTCCTGCTCAGGTTTACAATAAAACAAAAGACGCAACGAAAAAGAGCACAGAAAGACAACTGAAAACAGTTTGCCAAAAATTACATATTCAGGACTTCCCTGGTGGCGCAGTGGTTAAGAATCCGCCTGCCAATGCAGGGGACACGGGTTCGAGCCCCGGTCCAGGAAGATCCCACATGCCTCAGAGCAACTAAGCTCGTGCACCACAGCTACTGAGCCTGCTCTCTAGAGCCCGTGAGCCACAACTACTGAGCCCGTGTGCCACAACTACTGAAACCCGTGCGCCTAGAGCCCGTGCTCCGCAACAAGAGAAGCCACTGCAACAAGAAGCCCGCGCACTGCAACGAAGAGTAGCCCCCGCTCACCACAACTAGAGAAAGCCTGCGTGCAGCAACGAAGACCCAACGCAGCCAAAAATAAATAAATAAATTTATTTTTTTAAAAAATTACATATTCAAGGGAATTCCCTGATGGTCCAGTGACTGGAACTCCACACTCCCACTGCCTGGGGCCTGGGTTTGATCCCTGGTCGGGGAATTAAGATCCCACAAAGCCGAGTGGCATGGCCAAAAAGGAAAAAAAAAACAATTACGTATTCAGAAAACCCACATGTGCTACACAGTTCTATAAAATGTTGGGGGAAATGAAGGTTACATGGGACTCCTGGATTACTTTTTGCAACTTGCTATGAGTCTACAATTATTTCAAAATAAAAAGTGCAAAAAAACCTCCCCAAACTATGTATTCAAGGCCCACTGTACATAGAGTAGTGAATACAAAGAATGTTTACCAAAAATGTAAGGGAACATTTAAGTAGACGGTAAATACTGTCCTAATAGAACGGTTCAGAGGAAAGAATTGTTAACCCATCAAATCACAGATTACATAATACATTTATATTATGTGTGGTGTAAGCAGGAAAATGGATGTTTCTTTTTTAATCTAGTTGGGTCGTTAGTCAACTGGAATTAATGCACTTCAGCTCACGGAAGGAGGTTATATATTTACTCCCTTAGAAAGTACTGCCTTCTTCAAAATTAAAAAACAATAACAAAGAGAAAGTACAACAAAATTTAAATAACATCCACACTGATCTTAAGTTCTATACAATTTTTTTTTTGGCTGCACCACACAGCTTGTGGGATCTTAGTTCCCTGACCAGGGATTGAACCTGGGTCCATGGCAGTGAAAGCGCCAAATCCTAACCACTGGACCACCAGGGAATCCCCTATATACAATTTTTTTTTTAATATACAATATTTAGAAGTTACATCTTAAACATCAAGTTAGAAACAATGTTTCCCGGTCAAGATTTTCTTCTGTGAGCATCACTTTACCAACCAGAGGCACAGCAACCAATACTGACACCAATAATTCAATCTTTGCTGTTATTCCAAAGGCGGATGTGTCCACCGAGTAGCAGATGTTTCACAGTACTGGCTCCTGAAGTCAAAGCACGGGCTCACTTCTAGTATCAATATATTGAAGAAAGACAGAATGAATACATCCAAGCCAGCAGGCAATGAGCAACCACACAGAAAAGAAAGCGCTTTAAAACACCTGAACCTCAAACAGTATTTTTTCATTATGTTAAAATGAAAATTTAACGAAGTCCAAGGCATTAGAAATAATAATGACTCTTTCACCATATAATCAGCTGTGTGTTTTACCAGCTTCTACTACGATCTTCATGATTTCCAAAGTAGGAAATACCCCTTCTACTGATCACTAAGTCTCCTGTCCCAGCCATGATGTGAAGTTGTCTGCTCCCCTTCAGATCTGGATGCTGCCGTGTTCATCAAAGAGTGAAAAGCATACAGAGCATGCTACAGATCAAGAATAACCTTCAGATTAACCAATCACAGTGAAGAACCAATCACTGAATTCTCTAAGCCACGTTTTCCTCACTTGTAAAACGTCCATGTTACAGTTTCAGAGAATAACAATTGAACAAGGTAATGTATTTTAAAAGTGTATTATGTCAGGTTTCACAGAGCAGATGCTGACTAACTGGTAGCCAGTATTGCTCACGATTATATCTGCTCTCTATGACACAATAACCATTGACTTTGACCACTTTATTTACATTTTACTGTTCTACCTACATATCCTCTAAATATGGTCTGCTTCAGATTTATAAATTCTTAGGAAACAGGAATTGTAGCTAAACAGTTCTGTCTCTGTAGCACCGAACAATCAAATTCTTAATAAGAAAATGT